GGCTCGGACGACGAGCAGCAGCACGCGAGGGACACGGAGCAGGCGAGTAAAAAGGCGGAGGGGAGGAAGGGCGATCTTCAAGCGGGCGGATCGGTGCTGATGTCGGCAACGGTCGGCACCTCGAAGATGGAGGTGATCAACGGCCAGGACAAGAACCTGTACGCGACGATCCAGGTGCTGCCCTCGCCCACGAGCGAGAAGGCGGCGACCATCGTTGGCCAGAGTCAATCGACCAAGATCAGCCCGTTGAGCGGCGTTCTGGGCAAGCTTCGTGGCGTGCTTCCGGGGAGAAAGCACGTGTTGAAGGGCGGCGTGCAGGATCATCATCAGGGGGGAGGAGACTCCGGCGACTATGTAACCATAGCCGACGTGAGAAATAACAACGACAAGCGGCAGGATTCGGCTTCCTGCCCGACGCCCGCCCGTTCCCCCGTCACCTATGCCAACTCGGACATATTCAAGAAGGACGCGGAATACGTGAGCTTGAGCGAATTGCCTAAGAAGCCTGATTCGTCGTTGGAGAGGAAGAGGCAGGGCGCCAGGGTCACGTTGGACTCGGAAGGCAAGGTTGTTTACTCGTCCGACAGCTTGAAGAGGAGGAAGGGGGCGCACACTACGTTTAATCCAGGTGCGTTTCGTTGGATATATCATCGGTGGTGATCCTCTCTGAGCATCGTATCCTCTCTTCGAATCTCTCTTCTCTCGAAAAATTTCCCAAGATCACGCGTGTATAAGCGAATACTCTCTTCTTCAATCGCGAGATGACTGGTTCCAATGAAAGTCACTTTTATTCGTAATTCGTAATACTTATAACTCTTCCACGAACGTTAATTAATAAAAACATTAAAATTAATATTTTTACGCCACGCAAGGCAATAGTAATTGTAACCATAACGATGATATCGAGCGATAATTTTTTATTTTATATATTATATAATTTTGCAATAAGTTATTCGCGTACAAAAATTTTTCTTAAAAACGTACAAAAAGAATATCCTTCGAACGAAAGAATAGAATCTATTACGTATCTATTACATAAGCGTTTTCGAGGTCCATTAAAAAAAAGAAAAAACGTTTACTCGTGGAAAATGCAGGTCCGTTCGTGAGAGAGGGCGTGTCACCTAGCCCATCCCCCCTGCTGCACCGCGCGACCCCCAACGTTCGA